ACATACACTCACACACACACATACAGATACACACACACAGATATACACACACAGACACACACACACACAGATACACACACACAGATATATACACACACACACACAGACAAACACACACACACACACACACACACACACACACACACACACAGGAGGAGGAAAGGAAGAGGGACACAGAAACACCATGGAGACAGCCCAAGCCGTGACAGTAATATTACGGCTCTCTTCTCAATAAGGACTTTATCCACATGATATTATGACTTTCTTCTGAAAATCTCAACATTGTTTACTGGCCAGACAATGCCATGACAACCAACAATAAATCATTAACCGATGGGAACGTATTTGTAACTAGGGTAAATCACACAGTGTCATTTATAAACTTCAGGTGGCTTTCCATACAGGCCTGCTTTCAGTTATGCCATTTTGTGCTGCTTTTCCATGTAAAACCAGTTTTTACCAGCAATCTACTTCCTGTTGTACTGTTGTAAAGTGCGGGTTTATACGTGATTTTTCACACCATTCTTCCCTATAATGATGAGCCCTTCCTTCTGTTATGCATAGCCAGTAAATCCAAATGTATGTAACCAATCAGTGAAGAGTAAAGCCAGACCAAAGTGCTGCATCTATAAAAAGTGTGTGCCATTGCAATGTTGCAGATTGGTGTTGCCTTTGACAATCGCACATTACTTAAATAATAATTGTCTGAGAATAATGACCTTGTCTGCCTTCACTGTCTTTTAAAGTAACTTGTGTTAATATCATTGTGAGCAGGTTAGCAAAGTTCCCCAAGAGAAAGAAAGTTCCCAGTTCGAATCCCAGTTCAGCTTGGGGTCTTTCTGTATGGAGTTTGCATATATTCCCCATGTTTCCATTGGATTTCTCTGGGTACTCTGACTTCCTCCCACAGTTAAAAGACATGCAGATTGGGGTTAGGTTAATTGCAGACTCTAAATTGACTGTAGGTGTGAATATGAGATGGCCCTGCGATGGACTGATGACCAATTCAGAACCTGTCCTGCCTCTCGCTCAGTGTCCACTGGGAGTGGCTACAGCTCCCCCTGCGACCCCCTAAAAATTAAGTGGTATAGATAAAGGATGGATGGAAATATTGTTGTAATATGTTCATATGTAAGAAGTGTTAGAAAAAGCCATCCTCTTCTACTATTTGATTGCGAAGGTATAGACAAAGTTAAATTGATTGTTCAGAGATAATAATGTCCAGTATATTGTAGACTCCTGCTTCAAATGAAGTCCTTGGCACAAGATGGCAGCCTTCCTTTACTGACATGCTTGGCTTCATTTCTGAATAATGGGAAGCAGTGGACACACAGTGGACAGGAAAGTGTCACATTTTCTGAACATTAGAGCATGAAAACCTTTAAAGGTTTAAAATGATGTACCTGAACATGAGCAGAACATGTCTCCTTTAAAGCTAAGCACTAAGACCTGGAATATCAGGGGGTTTGAGGACGAGAGTCCTAGAATTCAAGCCATCACAAATGTTCTAAAAATACAAACTAACCTTTATCTAAATTGCCTTTGCCTTAAAACAAGTTAAAGTACTTGTAGTTTTATGAGGGAAATGCAGTGAAGCAGCACTATAGTGCAACTCCAGAACAAAACTTGATGCCTGCACAGATTTAAATGTCCCTCCAAGGCCAAAATATTTGTTGACATTTTTCTGATTTGTGTTGGAATTTTGTTCTCTCAGTTTCAGAAGCTTCAACACTGAAAGGGATACAGCTCTGGATGAGACACTTATTTATTGGCACAAAGAAATTATAAAATGAAGCGTAAACTTGCATTTTAGTGCAACACACACAAGTAAATACAAGGGTTAGTTGATTAATTGATGTTGTTCAACAGAAAGTTAACCAGCACCTGTGTTGATTGATTAAGTCATGAGGGAAAAGAACTTGGCTCCTGCTTCTCAATTCCAAATGTTTGCTGGTGTTCTTGGACTAATTTGAAAAACACAGCATGAAAAAAAAGTATGTGCAGATGCCACTGTGGGCTCTAGGAAATTAAAATGTACGTTTCTCACTATTTAATTTGTCTCAATTAATCAATCTATTAAAAAACAATTTGGTAGATGAAACGATTATGAAAATAATCCCAAGTTAAACCCCTATATGAGAAGCACCAGGTTCACCCAAACCCACCAGCAGATACCAGAGCTCTAACATTCATCAAGTTTCAACAGCATCAAGTGAGAAAAACTGTTAAGTATCAAAAATAAATGTAAGCTGAAAGTCAACCAATTCACTGACACTGTGGTAATGTACTTCTACGCTGCTACGGCATGAGCAGGACAGTGCTGAAGAGGATGGACAACATGAAGCGGGAGAGGCTGCGTTCAGTAACAACAAAGAAGCAGTGAGCCACGCTCACATTGTCACTGTCACATTCTTAGATGTGACAGTCTCTTAACATTAATTTGATGTGATTGTGCTTCAGATTTCCACAAACAATTATTTACTTCTGTTTTCACATTTTCTGCCCTTTTGCACAGGTTTCAGTAGATCACTGAGGATGCACGGTAAAAGGGGCACTGCACAAAAGTACCAAAACCAGACTGGGTTAACTTTAGTTTTATTACCTGTGCTGGATCAGGGGGCTGATGCAGGAATTGTATATCATTGTGAGATTTTTTTGACATTTTGACTTTTCAAGGGAATAGTTAATGTGTCTCGATTTTTTAAATCAGGCATATTTAGGAAACTGATATCTGTAAGTGTGCAATTTGGTGCATCTGGGTTAATTTTAAGGAGACTGTTGGGCCTTGGGGGAGGTATGCGCTCTACTGAGTGGAATTCTAGTTTGCAACAACAACACAATGACATAAAATCTTCAGCCTATTGAATCTTCAGTTTATTGACAACTGATCACACAAAGACCAATTAAGTCAGTTGCTAAGCGTAATTCATATGTTTTATTGGGAGGTATTTGTCATTAAATTTTTATAAATAGAGATAATATTTAAGTACCCAAGAAGAGGCTTGCATACACAAATCTATCTAATGACAGTCCCGACAGATGGAGCTGGTCCTATGAATCATCTGTTTCTCCAGCTCTGTTGCACATGAGTTTGGCTGCCAGGGATCCGTATGTCGTAGTCTTTGCCTCAGGCTGTACTTTGTCTGTGTGGCTTCTCCCTGTGAACAAAGACAGCACAGCTCATTAGACGGACACTGCTGCCAGATGAGACCAGGGTCAGTGCTGGCAGGCATATTGTCAGTGCTGGCTAATCAATGCAATGATCAATACTCAATATATAGGTCCACAGAACCTCCTTCGGTTTGATGAGAACTGATTCAAAGTTGATCAAAAATTTACCAGGGATCCTGTCCATTGCGATGAAATTTCGATCTTGTTGCTTTATCTTTGGCCTGTTTCGGGCTATGAGGAAAACTCCAAGGAAAGACAGAAGACACCTGAAAGAAAAAGTCATCTTGCAATGAAAAATGTAAATATCTCATTTCAATTAGATGCAGTTACTTGTGTGTTGTTGAATACGTACCCAAACAGAAACATAAAAATGTTGAGTAAAGCCAAACCTTCAAATTCCTGGTAAAATACTATCCCTGCAAAATGGAAAAAAGCACATTAAAATGCATTTTACAGCAACAGAACATGTAGATCATCTCTAGTGTTTTATTTGTGAAATAGCCCTGCAAATCTTCAGTAAATCATATGGTGTGATGAGCACAAAATGTCTAATTATTAACTGAAGGGTATGGATTTTTTCCTCAAAACCCTAACCATAACCCCACAAACCATGAGGATTTACCTCTCTCTATAATGGATGTCTCCCTGGGATTAACTGTGCAAAATGGTGGAAAGAAGCTGCAGTTGTTTCGTTCTAAGAGACTGACACCAAAAGCCGATGTTTACAGTTGAACTGCTGGAACATTTTCTCTGATCAAACTCAACCGACTGGAAATTGCTTGAAATGACGCGTCAGTGGCGGTTGGGTAATCTAACCACAAAAAGAACAACAAACGAGGAAATGAATTAACACTATTACTGACAAGATAACAAAGATCTGACCTGTCCCACACCATTCTGTAAATAGTGTGGGACTTCTGCTGTACAAGAACTCATAAGTGGTTCACATAAGAGTGAATCACCATCTTGTCTGTGTATTTTGGTCCACTGTATTGAGGTCATGAACTGATTTCGACTCCTGCAGAGTACATTCAGTTCTTCAAGGATAAGGACTGTGATCATGGTGGCATTATTACTTTGATATACAATAGATATACAATATGCTATTCACACATACTACCTTAACTGACTCTATCATTACAACTGTCATTACCACTCCCTTCATCTCTATCTGCCCTTTGCTTTTGTACAAATACTACATTGACACACCTCTTTACTTATGTTAGACGCTGTCTTTTCTCATCAATGTTGTAAATATTGTCATTTTGTTGATGTGTTCAGCTAAACACAGCATCTATTGCACTTCTTCATCCTAGGGATTCCTCACATGTGGTTTCCACAATATTTTTCCTCTCTTAATGTTCTTTTTTTGGGGGCGGGGTAGTTTTTCCTTGTCCTTGTCGAGGGTTAAGGGCAGAGGATGTTACACTGTTCACCCCTATGAGACAAACTGATTTGTGAATATAGGCTATACAAATTAAATTTGATTGATTGACTGATAAAGCTGATATTCTGTTGTCAGCAAATGAGAATGTGTATAGTCCATCTCATTGCTAACTGACATCCAGCTGCAGTCACAGCTGCTGCAAAAAGGGCTGTTCATTAAAAGTTCAGTTAAGCTTAACTTAATACACAAAACCCAAACTGGAGAAATCCGTTTTTGTTTCCATTGTCATGGACGCACTGTCGTGGTGATCGACAATGTCACTTTTATTGATGAGTCCCAGCCACAGTTGCTACAGAGCGCTGTTTGCCTGTTTATTCAATGTTTATTAATACTGAACGTTGGACTCTGTAAGCACGGAGCCTCACCCCCACTGACTGGAAGACTCTGTTTGCCTGGTTATACAGATTTTTATTGCATGTCCAAATTGCGCCTAAGTCTATGCTGCACTTTGCTGGGCCTTTAATAATGCACATTTGTGAAATTACAAGTGTGAAGCTGATGAAGCTGAATGTTTCTCAAGATATGAATTCCACATACAGACAGACAGGCAGAGATCTATGGAACTGTTAGACTAATGCAGAGCCCATTCTAAACCTGCCTGTTTGCTTGACCTGTGATAAGACAGCGGAGCTACTTCAGAATTATTCCTCCTCATTTTTATTGTTTGTGTGCCAGATGTTGTGTGAAGAGCTTTTTATATACAGTCCATAGTGCAGAGTGAAGTTAGGACCTTTTTGTAATTGTGATGTAGAATAAGACATGTTCGACCCACAGCTGCCTACTGAGTGATACAGAGCGCTGTTTGCCTGTTAAAACATTGGATAATATTCAAGGTATCGCGTGTTCAAACTGCACCAAATTTGACACTTCCCTTCCATGGACCACTAAGAACACTCATGGCAAGTGTGAAGCTAATAAACAAACTGTTCACAAGATGTGTTTTGTTATTTTCAGCTGCAGATGATCACGTATTTGGTTCACTAGTATTTGTTACACCATGACAATGATTGCTTAGCATTCGACTAAATCTATAGTGGCAGTGTTCATGAGATCCTATTCTCCAGGGCAACGAAACAGTTTCATCTTTTTGTGTGATTTGTTGACAAAGAGAAAAATACAAAGCATCACTTGTGTTCTCCTTTACACAAAAGAATGAAACAAGTAACTTTGAACCCACAGAGAGTGACAGATTTATGATTCACAAACCTGCAACAATGGCACTTGCCGTGAAAAACACAAAGTTGATCGGAACCACCTCAGTGGCATCAAACATTTTCATTGCCTGATTGAGAAATCTGTGGAGAGAAGAGAGGATTTGTGAAGCGCAGTGAATACAATGACCATGGTTACAATAGGGGTCAAGTAGGCCCTCTGTAGCGGCCTATTCATCCATCAAAATACTGGAGGTGTGCTGCAAGTACAATGTAACCATGCCAAAAATGTTCTTTTTTTGTTCAAACTGCAAAGCCAAAGTTGCATCTAGCTTGAGGCGAACATGGGATTTCAGCAGTAAAAAACAGAGAAATGAAGGTACTCATACAGAGCAAAATAGGAAACCTTGACTAACTTGATCTGGAAGGCGCAGGAGGCGACCATGACAACGAGCATTACGTAGAAGATGGGGTATATGAGCTGCAGTTGGCCTTTTATCGACTCTGTGATCATCCCTGACACAGCTTTGACCGAGATGACTGTCAGAGAAGCTGCAGGAACAAAGATGCCACACGTCATTTCATCGTTTAGTTTCCAAAAAATGACTTCCTCACTGGTTCAAGCTGATTCGTGGAGGCAATAATTTATCCCTCATTGAGTTGTAATTAATTATTTTCTTCTGTCGTGCTCTACTCAGATCTTCATTGAAATGATAACAGAGTACAGGTCCATTTTTGGTAGCCAGGCAACAAAACAACGTCTGACCACCCAAAACGGTTCAATCCACAGCTTTTGCCGTCAATCACTCAGCTTTCACTGGTCCGTACCGAGCAGGGCCACGAGCAACATCACAATGACGATGTGTTTCATGTTCCTCCCCTTGTACAGATACAGCAGGATGCAAAAGATGATGACCTCAATAAACTGTTGAGAGAGTGAGAGAGAGTGAGAGAGAGGGAGAGGGGGTTAAACAAGTCATTATTGCAGGTGCCATTTTCTCAGAAAATGAAAACTTAAATTGCACTTTTACTGGCAATTTTATCCACGTAAAACAAAGTGGTGAATGCAGTCAGTGAGCAGCCTTGAATAATTCAAACAAATGACCATGGCAGAAAATGAAATAAATTGCTAGTCATTGAGGAGAAAGGCCCAGGGTGAATTCAACATTATTCAGTGGTTTGAGGACCTCTGCCGTAGCACCTATAATTTGTAAGAGTAATATAGGAGTTCCAAATTAGGACTGAAGAAAAAGCTGACCTCTAAATGTCTGTCAACGTTCCCAGTGTTTCAGTAGAACAGAGGACTATGTTAACTATTTAATGAATCATTTTTAGAAATGGGCCATTCACCATGAATTTAGCATTTAACACTTTACACAATGTGAGTGAATGACAGTCCTTCCAGATAAAATCATTTGATAATACTATGACCTCTGAAAATAACAAGGAAACAGTGATGAATATCTCCTTTTCCTCTGATTAATCACAACCTACAGTTAATCGTTGATGGAGGTTGTTCCTCTGCAGACTGATGAGTATTCAGGATGCATTGCCAGAAGTGCAGCATACCACTTTCCACACCATCAATCACTGCAGCCAGAGGCAACAAGGCTATCTCAATGTGAAAACATCTGTCTGTCTCTCCACCCGTCTGCATTTTGCTTTTCTTTTGTTTTTCATGCAGTTGATTTTATTTTCTCTAAATGTGTTTTCATCAGTTCAGCAAATAGGACTATATTAAGGAGTGGAATGTCAAATATGGTTGAGGGAAATGCTGTGGCCTGAATAATGATTGCACTGCTCCCCGACACACTGCTCACATGAGTGGCTAGCACGTCCAGTGAGCTGCTCGCTGTTCTTTTAGTCTTGTCTCTGCCTGGCTTGATGCAGATGATCGGTTGCCCACTCAAGGTAATATTCAAGATTTGTGAACAATTTTGATGCGACAGCGCTCTAGAGTTTAGTTTGTGACACAACAATCAACATGTGTCTCATAGGCAAGGAGGCACAAAGTATGCTGAGGGGGCTGCAGCACCTCCTACTGGCAAGAGGTGTAACTGCAAGGTAAGACTTTTACTTGGAAAGATTTATATCATTTAATTCTCTAGAGTCACAGTTTGAGAGTAGCATTGAAGCAGCATTTATAACATTTGATTACATTTGTGGAAGCTCCAGTGCATGTTCTGCATAACCTATCTGAAATGTAAAATGTGACGTAGATAAAGTAAGGTGCCACTTTTGTTAAGAATCTGAGTTTGAACTCTGTAACTGTCTCTGTTGCTGTCAGTTGTAATGTAAATGCTGTTGACCATTAAAATTCATCCCGGAATACTTAGTGAATGTGCTGCTGCTCTGCATCAATGACGTTGTTATACATAATTTCTCTTAGCACCCCTAACTCTGAATAACCTTCAACACTCAAGGGATTTCTTTTCAGCTGTAATTTTGTACATATCATGTTTATAAAGTAAAAAAACCTGCCCACATGTCAGATGCAGAATACGCTACAGATACTCAGTGGATTTGAGTCCAGATGGGGCACTTAATAGCACAAGATAGGGCTTCTGTTCACTCTTGAATTACTCAAAGCACTGCTTATCTAGCCTGGAAAATACAGAGCACCCTGTCTCACTCTGCTGCGACCATGGGAGTCGTGGCATCAGTGGAAAAGCAGCAGGATATGACCTTCCACTGCTGAAATATTCCCTTAGAAACATCGAAGGTGTGTTTTTTAACACACACTAGAGTTCACATTTGGAGCTGGCTTTTATATTTTTATGTGATGTGTATGTTGAAGCACTTTGGTGCTGCTCTGTACTTTGTTCCAGATCTTTTCACCATGGTAACGGCTATGTTTATGCCATCCCTGCCTGAGGCAAATTTGGAGTAGGAGAGCACACGGATGAGTGTTAATGCACCCGCAAAACCATTAGGTTGGATTGATTCTTTGAACACTTAATGTAAAAACATACAGTTGTAGTTTTAGCAGACAGGGCTCTTCCATATGAGGTCAAACACCAAGCAACACCAAAGATATTTCATCCACAAGGATGACCTACATAAATCAGGCTGTTATTCAGCTGCAGTTAAATTCTTTACTGCGGATTAATAAATATTTATACTTTAATTAACCAGTGAGAGTTATGCTCCAGCTAATCTCTAACAGATTCATGTTAATATGCACTAACTGTGGGCGAGGGACAAGATTTTAAGGCAGGAAGAGTTTAGACAAAATGTTGTTGAGTTAAAACACCACAAAAAGCATTTCCTTGTATGTTTAGTTTGGAGAAACGTTGGACTTGTGTGGTAATTAAAGGTAGTTAGACTATAAAAAGTGTAGAGTGAACAAAAGAAAGTTATCTGCTGTCTACACTGGAAGCCCGACAAAAGATTGGGGACAGGCTAACTAACACTAAGAGCTTTAAAGACATTTTTGCTGCTAAAAGCACAACAGTGACCCATGTGGGCAGAGCAGTATCTCCAGGGAAAAAAAAGCCATACAAACTATTACTGAACTTAGTCAAGATACATACAAGGTAAAGCAGGAAGTGCCAGCTAATGGCATAGTACTGGACCAGATGGGCTGTGATGTGTGTTGAATTATGGGGAGCAAAGGTCACCAGGAGATACGTTCCTGTTATTGCCAGGGTGCCACCTGTGGAAGAAAGAAAGCAGGTTGTAATGAAGCTCAGGCGTGAGTTCAATTCTCTCATTCTCTCTATGCTTATTAATCAGCCAATCCGATTCTGCTAAAGTCTCCATCAGCCAATCATGCAGCTGCTGTCAAACTTCCCCTCTTCTGCAGTCAGCAGTCATTCAGTGACACGAGTAACCCACCTCCACCCCAATCTCTTCCAGTCTTCAGCAGAATCATGATCACTTCATCTGGATCCTCAACCACCACCAACGTCTAGAACCCCCTTCTAATCCTGATGACATCACATAGGGGTCTAAAACGCCAAGACATAACATTCACATCACTTTCTCTGTTAAAACGTTAAATTGAAGTCTCTGCCAGGGCACGAAACCACATCTAAATTTACTAGCTCTGGGTTTGTATATATGATCTGCACCAAATTGCAAACACTCACATAAATATCTGTCCTTAAACATGAATGATTTTTTCAAAAAGATCCATGAATTATTCTCAGAGAAATTAAGCAAAATGTTGAAAAACACCCTTTATCACAATGTTAAAGAAAGTGAAAGCTAATTCCTGGGTAAGCCCCCTTATGTGGATCTGCACTTGGGTCATGACCCATCCCTTCAACATTTCATACTCAGGATTTTTAATTTATCTGAGGCAGTACAGCAACACTACCCCAATAAGGCTGCATAATACTGTATGCATGGAGTGGATGGTATGTATAACAAGATCAATCACCTGTCATGAAATTCAACTGAATTAAATGGTCATGTTTTTCTCTGTGTTTTTAGTCAGTCATTTTTTACATTTTATAAACATCTTGCTATTTATACATCAAATGACATACACTGAAATTAGATTTTAGATAACTTAAGTTCACAATGCCTTCGGTCGTTCACGTGCAGTATTTGTTTAGAAATGACTTTGCAATAAACCTTGAAAAAATACTATTTTGTACTGCATAAGAGGTTAATTTGTTATATCACTCTTAAACTTGGTAAACTCACCGATTTACCAGGTTCATTGAGACTTGCCTGCACGTTGTTACATGCAGTTACCATCTTTTTCTGTCATTTCAGTTATAATCCTAATGCTGTTGTTGGTTTGTCTGACCCTTTGTAAACAGGTGCTTCTGCAGCTTGCTCTCAGTGATTGTCCCCATTAAAAATAAAACATTCAATTAAATGTTCTGCATCACTCAGCAATTACATGAGAGTGAAAAAATGGGCAAAAAGATATGCTAATGATTTCTCCCGGAAACCAACAATGTGTAGAACTGTGAGGTGGTGATATGAATTTCCAGTTTAGCAGTTGTAATTATCATCATTAGTGTCGTGAGAATCCCAATTATGCCATTTAGCATGAGACAATAGCTTTTCATAAAACAACATAATGAGAGAGGTCAGTTGAATAGATTGTGCACTTTCTTTAACTGCTACAGACTTTTCTCAGCCAAAATGGAACATGCTATCTTTGTCACAGGAGTTTTGTTTTGCATCTGAGACTGTATCTGAGAAGTGTGGTTAGATTTACACCTGAACTGTAAATATCAAAGCAGCAATGTGAAAGGACAGGTCAGCTCGAGGCTTCAAGCGTTAGCTTACCAACAATGTCAGAGGGTCGCACCGTCTCCTTGAGGAAAACCACAGATATGACAGCACTGGCTGGGAAGTGAAAAAATAATCCTGTTAAATTAGTCACCCATCAGTGCACACAGAATATATTATGAACTCTGACACAATTATATCTCCACACTGTATATTAAAAATAACAAGACGGTACCATGAATACAGTCTCAACACAACACTGATTTGAATTGCAAAGTAAAATCAATCAGTGCTCATCTCCTGATGACTACAGATTTGTGTTCAGTTGTTTTTTATAACCTCATATTCAGGACTGATTCGTTGTTTTAATGCAAAAGTCAGTTTAATCATAAGAAATGTAAGATTATGGACCGAATAAAGATAAAATAATAACAACATTGCTGCAATCAGACTGCAGCGGTGTACATACTATAATTGGATGAGGAGCAATCAGATTTATCAGGATAAACGCAATGATAGCACATCACTGTGATACTGCTTGATACAGAAATGAAATACAGCAAAACGTGTACACATTCATTCATTCACATGTGCACACAATGATACTGGAGATGCATATATGTCCACATAAATTGATAAATGTACACTTGATACACACACAGTGCTTGACATGTTAATATTGATTGGCTCAGGAAAATCTGTCAACGAGCTTAGAAACATTAGGATTTCATAACATTAAATTACAACAAAATGCTGTTCCATGCCACATTTTTCATTAAGTCATTCATCAATATCCATGTCGGAAACTGCGATGCTGGAAAGCAATCAGCTTCACATGAGCTAAGCCCCAGATTAGTCTTCTTAATGTCTCCCCAGGACATGCGTCGAACTATGGGAGGGGAATGATCACACAGCATTTGGAGATAGATATGGCAGATATGCATGCAGACACACAGACGTGCTGAGAAACAAGCCAACACACAGATGGATGACCACACAAGTGGACTAACTGCCTGAGACAGAATAACAAATCACAAGACGAACAAGCACAGAGCAGACTGACAGGGAGGCAAACTGATATGAAAGTGACAGCAGCCTGTCACAGAGAGGAGGTCGGTTTACACAACACACTGAGGCTGCCATGTTGGAGCTCCTCAACACTTTGCATTACTGAGTGGCATTTCTGACACTATGTTTTGGAGCCATGTTGTCGTACATTCACAAGAAAATATGAGCAGAGGCAGCTCTGCAGATGTGTTGGTTAGGACATTTTGGACTCAACTGTGGCGAGCTGCTGTGAGCCATACCCATCGACAGGTGTGCACAGCTGGCACTGAGACAAAGACAGGCAGACTGAAAATAGAAGCAGCAGGAAAATGCTGGAAGAAGACAGACGGACAGCAGGCAGTTTGAGAGTAGAGGTTCTGCTGCTATTGTAAGGGGATTAGATACAGAGCACGAACAGCTCATTCATGGGGAGTCCTGTGGTGTGGAGGCATGATAGACAGGTTCTCAGGATGTTTATAGTGTTTACACTGGCTGTGCAGCTAAACAATGAAAGACTGAATCTCTATGCCTGTAACTATATGCAATATGATGCTGATAGTGTCTTCCAGGGGACACAAGAGACTGCAGGGACACTACTGTCAAACCAGAAGTATACAAAGACTCTTGTTGGTGCTCTGATGAATACCAGTTAAATATTTCATTCTGCAAGCATGTTCGCTCGCACACACATTTAGGACTCTATCTGTGCCTCTGGAACCAGCTGGATCTAACAAGTAACCATAGCAACTCCATACAAAGTGATCTTCACGCGGCTTGACAAAAATGAGAAATGTGTCGACAGAAACCTCTGGGGTACACAGTTCTGTCACTGGCCCTGGGTATTTATGGTGTTGCATGTGTATGTGTGTGTGTCTGTCTAAGTGTGTGCATCAGATCATTGCTGCCACTCTACGTGTTATTTCTCAATTCAATTCAATTCAATTTTATTTGTGTGGCGCCAAATCATAATATACATTATCTGAAGGCACTTTACATAGAAGGACAGGACCTTAAAATCCTATTAATATAGAGAAACCCAACAGCTCCCACAATGAGCAGCACTTTGGAGACTGTGGAGAGAAAAAACTCCCTCATTAACAGAGAGAAACCTCTAGAACCAGACTCAATGTGGGCGGTCATCTGCCTCGACCGGTTGGGATGAGCAAAGAATAAGGGGGAGGAGAGGAGAGAGGGGTGCAAGAGAGGGGAGAGAGACCGGGAACACTTGAGCACCATCAGGTATCAGATCTGACTAGTTAAAATGTAAACAATAACAGTATGAAAAAGTTATTGATTATTAATGTTGTGGGGAGCCTTGCTGTGGGAAAACACACCGTGTCACACACTCCCTCATCACGTGAACACACAGATGAAAGCACTAGATGTCTGACAGTCATCTCTCAGAAGAACGCAAGTAAGAAATGTTATCACCCTGTACATATTGCACTTTCACAGTGTCATAAATGTCACAATAGTGTCTTTAGAAAACATTTGAACGATGCATGAATGGTGTCAAGTAGTTGATGTACAGGACTTTTGCCAGGCTTTGCGAAATACAAGTATAACAACATTGAATGTGTTTCTTTATCTACTGAAAATTGTAACAGCTTCACCTGAAAATCTTTTTCCATCTGTGAGTGATGCTGATGCGATGTATGAATCTGCATTCTGTATATTTGTTTTCACCTTGCCAGCTTTCCTTCTCTTTTACATGGGATGACAGAGAATCTACTGGGGGGAGCTGATGCTCTGCTCAATACCACAGCACCTGGAATGATGCTGTCATTCCTAATAGAGATCGATGGGGGACAGCAGTAATTGCTCCCAGTGGAGGGTTGGAGTGCCAGTGTGACATGAAGGGACAGGCAGATGACAGCAGCATTGTCTGCGCTTCCAATCCTGACCTTTGCCTCCTCTGCTTCTTTCCAATTCTGTATATATCCCTAGCTCTAGTCTTTTTCCATTCCTCTCCTCTGTCTCTCCTCTAACCTCACTGTCTTTTGCTCTCAGCATCCATCTTTTTTTCTCTCCTGCTTTACTCACCTCTTGTTTACGCACTCAAGGTCTCCTGCTGTCTGCCCACCCACCCCCATCAGATGATCCCACACACGACTCACATAGAAAACAGGCACAACAACGCCAAAGGAAGAGGTCTGTCTTTAGATCGGCATGTTCCTACACACCAGGCTGTGGCTGAGGTGAAGAGAGCAATAGGGAAGAGCAGACCTCCATCTTGGGCAAGATACTGAACCCCACATTAGATCAGAACTGCTGCCTATAGTTGCACTGTATGAATGTGTGTGAATGGGTGAATGGCAAAAGTTTTGAATGGTATTCAGGAATAGAATATCGCTATTTAAATAAAGACCATTAACCATTCACTACAGTTATGCATTTGTGTTCAAGTATGTGAATGTTCTTATTTACATAAAGTGTGAGTCAGCATGAGGTGAGAGGTGGAGTCACAATGCAGACAGCACCCTGCACACTTCCCCCTCTGCTCCTGTTTTAAGCTATGAGGCAATAGACCATGTCATGGCTGCAGACATCTTCCTTCACCTTCCTCTTACCTCTTCATCTCTTGCTTCATTAATTCTTCAGCTGCATATTATATATTCATGCATACTCAGATTCAACACCGGCCTCTAGCAGTTGCTAGTTTTAATAAGGATAGCAATGATAGTAAAATGGAAATGAGCACAGCTATTGTTACTACCTGTGGCTTTGAAGAGAGTCATTATAGTGCCAGCTTTAGAAACAATGACATCACACTGATAGTTACTGCTTTGACTAGAACAATGTGCTGAAGTGCTGTTATTGTCATAATAGCATTTTATAAAATAATTACTCACTCACACAAATACAGCAACATGCACAACTACAATGAACAAGATTTGTTCAGTGCTTCATTCAACCATTTCTCCACTTTCTACACATGACTATAGGATAATGGTGTAAAGCGTTGAGGTAATAGCTGTCATTAATATCCATGACTCACCACCACCTCTGGTGCAGTGAGTGATGGGTGACGGGAGGTAAGACATGAACCTCTTCAATATTTAACCAGTGTTTGCACAGCAACCATGCAGACTGTGTTTTGATAGGCTAATGAATCCGACTTTAATTCACACTCTGGGCTGTAGAAATGAGCATCTCTGGAGTAGCCTGCAGTACATCTTCATAATGTCAATAGTGTTTGTCGACTCAGTTGCATCACTTAGTGATGTTTTCTCACAGATAGAAGATCAACACGTGTCAATGTTTAATGCTCCTGACCTTTCAGTTCCTGTTCAAGAAGCAGTATTTGCTGATGGTAAATACATCTTTAAACAGACGAATGTCCTAATATTAATCCCAGTCAATTACTTCTGTGTTCAGTAGATCAGTGATTCCTAATCGGGAAATGGATACCATTTGTCACATGAGTAACATAAATTATTGTATGTTCCTCTAATCTTGCTTTTAAATTGCTGGAATTACATTTTCATGCATCTGAGAATTATTCAGAAGAAAGGAAATATGTCTTTGGTCAATCTGGTAACCGCTAACAGTGGTCCATCCATTAATCTGGGTGACACAAGATTTAAACAGATTTAAACAAGTGCACAATGCTTTGTTTATGGGTCACAAGTAAAGTAGCATTAAATCAATGTACAGTCCAGACTGTACATATTTAGACAGTTGTGTCTTTTCTGCTCTTCGGCCTCTGCACTACAGCACATTCAATTTGAAATACCATAATGGATATGACATTAAAGTGCCAAGTAGATATAAAGTAATCATAGAAAGAGCTGTGTGGGAGATATAGCCCTTTGAACACTTAGTGGTCAAATGTTAGGTGATTAAAAGTAACAAGAAAGAGACCCATGAAGTCACACAAATCATCATATTCAATGGCTAAATTCTTCAGCAGACCCTTTATATCTCCCCTGGGGTCTGTGGGGTCTCTCTGTCTTCAGTTTCATCTTCACTGAGTATAATGCTGCTCAGTCAGACGGAGATCAGGTGACTGACCTGACCAGTCGAGAATATTCCCTCTCCTCATCCTGAAAGGCTTTTTGGTTGCTTTGAGCATGTTTTCAGGATCCATGTCCTGCTCAACCATAAAATGAGTTCTGATATATTTGACTGAATTGGTGCTCACGGGATGCTTCTGTTAATCATCAGTAAATACCAGAGCACTTAGCAGTAATACATGTCAGAACCAGCACCATGTCTGACAGATGTGGTGGTGGCTCTGGGTCATAAGCTGTTTGTTATTTCCTCAAAACTTTCCTGTTCCATTCTTTTTGTTTGGTCTGTATTTATATAGCACTTTTGTAGTCATGGTGACCTCTCAAAGCACAGTACAGTTTTACATTCACCCACACACACATTCATGCAGTGCATCTATGTGCAGCACTTTTCTCTATGAGAAGGGGCAACAGGAAGACTAGATCGAACCACAGGTTAGAGGACAACCGCTCTAACCCCTGAGCCACAGCCAACCCATGTTTTTATAGAGGTTGATTTAGGTTTTCAACTTTGTTCCAGTTCTTGACCCCATTTTTCCTTTCGTGTTTTCTTCTGAATGGCAGCCTGCCCTTTCTGTGATTGAGGTTAACCAGTGATTTTCATCATGTGGTGAATACTCAGATTTCTGGTCCTGACATCTTCTCTTGTTGACAAGGAAACATGTTGGCATCCTGAAAGGCATTATGGACTTGCTGTGCAGTCATAAATAGTTTTTTCCTCACAATTGAAGCTATTTCCTGCTCATCCACAAGATTTGTGCTCCACAGTCTGTCAGGACATTTGACATTTTCTAGTTTTCCGGTGAACACCTGCTTTTATAGATTCTAAAAGAAATCCTGACACCTCCATGTTTTCCTGATGACAGTTTTAAAGGTTCATGGTGTGGTCTGGGCACCTGAAGATCCCAATCAGTCCTGGTGTGTGTGTGTATATATATATATATATATATATATATATATATATATATATATAATATCTGTCCTGAATGAACTGATAAACAAGTGGTTGTGTCCTGGTTGCTCCCTGAGATCTGGTGACTCAGACCACATTTGGAGGTGGTCTGCATATAGTCACCTTTTTTCCGCTATGACAGCGCAAAGGTGTCTTGGGCCACATATATAGGACAATCTACTCAGCTGACGCCCTCTGACCTTCTACAGTTTCACAATGAATCATATTTTTTTCAGTGGTCATACATTGATTTGTTTATAACCACAATCACAATATCAACACTGACCACCACATAATGACTGTTGCTTTTCTTAAATTTGTAAAATCTCTCTTCAATACTCTCCTCTCTCTCTCTCTCCCTCTCTCTCACTTGTAACACCAGGTGAAAACAGACAAACTTAACACTGTCCACTTGTGATCAGATTTCTTAGGGACAGATGCTAATACCAGGTCCAGGGCCATGGAAGCATAATGGTACAAAACGGTTAATTTATGAGCTAATTAAAACAAACTGATTCATACTTTCAGCTGATTTCTGCTGAGACACTTTGAAACACACAGTATGTACATTGTGTAGATCTCATTCTGCTAAGTTATATTCTCAGATATCCCTCTATATCTATCTTCCCTCTATCTACCTTTTTTATTAGCACACAATGCAAACAAATGGCACAAAGAGAACCATTTATGACAGGATGAGAAGACAAAGAGCAGACCTCACATAGCAACACTGCCTGCCATTCCCCAAGGAAACAACCTTTCGTCTTGCCTTCATGCATGATTAATGTATGAGACAGAAAGGGTAGGACTTACTTACCTATGACAGACACACAGCCCAGTGGGGCTATGAGGGATGCTGGGGCAAAGCCGTAGGCAGCAAAGTTCCCCAGTTCCCCAACACCCATGAGAACCACACCGCACCACCACATCACGGAGGTGTAGTAGGGCTTGGAGCCACGCTGAGACTGACGGACGTGGGCATATTTCTGTCAGACAGAGAGGGAACGGGAGCCAGAGGCATCACTCAGATTAAGTGGATACAATGACTGGGGAGCTGCACATGACAAACTCAAACACACGCCACACATTTGTTAATAATTTATATAGACACTTTCACAATGTTTGACAAAGAATAATCGGTTGAAGAGATAAAACAGGATTCCATGCACCAAAACACCCGCTGCTGATTAGCTGTTCATCTCAGAAGAGCCATGACAACAATTAAGCAAGTAAATGAGGTGGGAAGCTACATGGCAAATGTAATTGTAGGCCTATACTTCATAAATCTTTGCAGTTCTATCTCTCAGTGCTAATGACTTGCTAACGAACATCAGCATTTTCCAGCATTTTATGTGGAGGTTGTCCCGTCGCCTCGGTTTTACACACCCTGCATGCTGCTGCCACAAAAGCAGTTTGCATTGCCTAGACAGAAAGTCATTTAGCTACAGACCTTATTTTGGGTATTTTGGGGAATTATTGAATTGTGCAGTGGAACAAAAATCCTAGCCTGTCAGCCTGCTAAATGCTACAATGCTTGTGGTTAATGAATTGCACACATTCACTAAAAGGCTTGGATTGATGATTTAACAGCATGTAGCTCAGAGTATATATACTTCACTTGAAAATAGTCATTATAAACTGTTAGAATAATTAGTATTTTGAAAATATGTTGTCTAAATTTACTGTATAATTGGACAAATATGTTGCTAATCACAGTGTTAAATTATATTTTTTCTGAGGCTGAAACATCCATTTCTTTTAGTTTCAATTTAAACAGGCTCTATTATGATGAAATATACAAATGCATTTGTGCTGTGTGCTGTGCAATATATTCTCTGAACATGTGAGTAGATCACACAGTCACAATGCATGTACATTCACTAAAATCATGATGGATGCATACAGAATTTGATAAAGAGAGAGCAAACTGTCTGGAGAAAAGCAGTGCACAGGGAGTCTGTACAGACGTAAAGGGCCAGCTGTGTGCTGAGCGTGTGCTGTACAGCTGGATTCCAGCACTTCATACCTGTATGTTGAGTGAAATGCTGATGAGGAAGTTCCCACATATAGAGATGATGATTCCCAGGAGATAGGTCTGTCAAAACAAACAGTAAACAGAAGGAATATGAAACGATGCGCTACTTGTCACACAACAATTAGAAACACCCCATAATACTCCCTGCAGGTCTTCCCTCCAGCTGTCACTTTCATTACAACTGATAGAACTGCTGCACTGTTGCTCTGTTCAACGGTGTGTGTGTGTGTGTGTGTGTGTGTGTGTGTGTGTGTGTGTGTGTGTGTGTGTGTGTGAGCAGAGGCTCCTATTGTTAATACTACTGTACATATGAGGTAGTATCAAACTCACACACTCACACGCAGTCAATAACAACAGACCCAGGTATTTAACACACATGCAGAAACACAAACACTTGCTCAGCATCTTAACTCTCACGTGATATACGACACCTCACTGATGCAGGTCGGTTCACACCTTTAGACACACAAACACCCGACACAGACTGTGGGCAAGGTTTTTTATAATTGTACAGACTGTACAATATCACACAGCTAAATGCTACAGTCAGCAAGATAAAGGTAAGATAAAGATGGCTGGCAACGTAGCAGGTAAAATGTTTATTATGTTCGTAATCTGAGATTTAGAGAATAAAATCATATCACAAGACAAACCTTGTACTTTTAAAAGAATAAAGAAAAAGAAAAAGCAGCAAGGACAAACCAATCTCATTATGAAACTATGAAACCCCTTAGAATATGATAATGCAGAAGTACCCAACAATGTTCAGTCGACCACAACCAAACTTTTCCGTGTCCTCAAAGAATAGAAAGCTCTATTCTTCAGAATAGATGCAGTTTCTTTCACAATATTTTCAAAGTGCTGATGGTGATGCTGATGTGCCAAACCCATAACAAAGGTTAACCTAAATTATGACTTTATTCTTGTAAAATTACAACCCATTTCTCATTATATTCAAACTCACAACACTTTTTCATGAAAATTATGACTTCCCCCATAATATTACGACTTCATTCTCAAAGTCTCACATTTCTTTAGCTTCTAATCAATGTATCTATTGCACTTCTGTCCGTCCTGGGAGAGGGATTCCTCACGTGTGTCTCTCTTAGGTTGTTTAAGCCCTATGTGACAAATTGTGATTTGAGAATATGGGCTTCACAAATAATAATTTGATAGATTCAACATGGCCCTAATATTTCATAGAAATACATCACAGTATTTGACAAGTTCGTTTTTTATTTGAAACATGATCCCTTTCCTACTTGGAAAGGGATCAGCCAAATCAGGGGCTGCATGGTCTGGATATAATGAATGTCTGTACAATTCTTCTATGACAAATGTTGAGACACTTCAGTCTGAATTAATGAAGTAGACCGACTGATCGACGCTGTTGATCCTAGAGTCAGACCACTATCATCATTAAAAATGTATGTGAAGGTCTTGACAAATGATGCATCCAAAAATGCCTTGTAAGAGACTCTCATTATCTAATTTTTTTAAACTTACACTTAATCATGGGCTCCCTCTAATACCAGGAAAAGATAATACGGACATCCATTTGCTTTAAGTGTTTCTAGAATATAGAGCTGCTTCCCTCCATATGCTTGGAAAATTATTGCCAAGAGGAAATTTAATTTCAGGTCATAAACTTACCAGTGGCTGTGGGCGGACAAAGTTTTACAAAGAAATGAAAGTACACAGTGGGGGTGGAAAGTGAATGATGAAAACCTAAAGAAAGAAACTCAATCACTGGAAAACAAGCCAAGCACATACAAGTGTTTATGCCTTGAAGGAGAATTATGAGAGCGATGGAGGTTGGAGGGGAAAAGACAGGGGATATACAGAGATGGGAGGTAAAACAGAGGAATGTGAGGCACAGCAAGAAAGAGCAGAGAGCTGGAGGATGAGCATGATTGAGTACAATATAGTACATTTGAAACAATAGCACCAGCAACAATAGCATAAAGAGAGAGAGACATTTTCTTGTGTACAAATCCGTTAAATCTTTTTTCATTAAGTTACAAACTGTATGGAGGTTTTTTCCTGTCTTTATTGAGAGAGCATGGTATTTCAATTCGAGCACATGACTTGTTGAATTTATGTTCAGATTGTGTATTACTTTTTATCAAAACCCTGCTCTTGCACTAAAATAGCCCGTTTGCACTTTAATTTGCTCTGCTTCTGCTCAAACTGTGGGCATGCACTCAGATATACTGTTGCTCGCAGGGATTCTTCCCCTGTCCTTTTATTCCAGAAAGCCGTTATAGAGTAACCGCCAGCACGGGACGCTCGGAAGTAAAGCGAACGTGCCCGCAATGAGGCAGGGATCATATCATTCATTTCATTGGTTGACCAGTGGTCAACACGACACATGGCTTTCTATTGGTTGGGGAATTTTGTGAGGGTTGTTGCACAGAAAAATCTAAGAGCAGAGGAGAAATCTGAGCACAGATGATTCAAGAGCCCGAGTGTGGAGAAGGGCTGAAGCTGGGAGTGCAGGAAATCCTTGTGAGCAACAATATATCTGAGTGCAAGCACACAGTTTGAGCAGAAGCACAGCAAGTACAAGTGCAAACAGGGGCTATTTTAGTGCAAGGGGAGCAGTACAACATAATACACAATCTGAACATAAATTCAAGTCATGCGCTCGAACTGAAAGACCACGCTCTTGAATAAAGATAGGGAAAAAAACCATAAAACTGTTTTCTCAGTTACATGTGGTTCTCTCTGAGGTTTCTAGTTTGTCCTAACTCTTGCTGAGGGTTAAGGACAGAGGCTGTCAAACCTTCTTAAGCCCTATGAGACAAGTTGTGATTTGAAAATATGGGCTGCACAAGTTAACTGTTATGGATTGGTTGAGAGAGAGAGAGCGTGTGTTGTCAGGTTCAGTCTATTCAGGGAGATAAGGCATATAGGAAGTAGGTTATTGCCAAAAACGTGCATATTGTTGACACTGTGATATAACAGCACAGTTATCAAAACAAACCAGAATGAACGGAGGGTAAATTAACTCCTCCAGACTTCAAACACAAAAGATGATCACTATAACACAATCCAGATGTCGAATCACTCTGTTGGAGCACATCAGCACTGGAACATCTCTGTCATTATTAAAGTCATTAACTAAAAAACAAAGCTCATTCTATGGGCAAGAAAAAAGACCCTCCTCTGTTTCTTTCATCCCCAGTGTTGAGGAATTTTGTATATCCTCACACATTACTGTGTACGCCACTATATACCATATTATGTATATATAGTGTATATTACATTATATCTGTACACAGTTAAGAGAAGAGTGCCTGGCTAATTCCACAGGTACTCCCTTCTCTTTCTAAGCAGTACAAAAGGTCAGGTTATAGATAAACAGTGCATTGTAGTGTCTACGCTTGGGGACTTTCATATCTAACTCAGATGCCCGAGACAGAGAGGCACCAACTTCAACTCTTTTGCGTATTACACCAGTATCCAATAGGATGTGAACACCTTCATGTAACATAGAGAGTGACAGCAATTCTAACCATTCATGGATGTGCTGTTAGAATGGGTGAGGCAGGTAGAGGAAGATATATGGGGATGCTGTGGGAGACATCTTCAGACTTGGGGGTGACAATAGCTCATGTTGCTCTGTTAGTGTTTGTATATTGTTCCACCTTAATAAAAAATTAAAAGATGTCCCCATGCTGACGGTCTCCTTCTGCCCTGCTTTAGAAACTGTTATTTCTCTGTGTAGTTTTTTCTGTGTCTTTTATGTTTATCTCTATTTCCACTGCCACTCTGTCACCTTGTCTTGTTATGTCACCTGATTTCACTAATAATAATAAAAAAAGAATTAAAGTAATGAATTGGATGAAGATTACAAACAGACTTTTATTTTTAGTGGGCTAGGCCAAATATTAATACACATCTAGATTTGTATTCGCTGACAGCTCTGCATCAACATTTGCAATTCCATCAAGATCTCCAAATGCCAAAAGTCAGGGTTTACCAAAGATGTTACAATTTATCCTGAGGGGGACATGAATGTTTGTACAAAATTTCATTCAGTGGATCCATGCTGGATTATCCAGTCAACATTGGTATTCCTACAATTTTGCCACCACAAAAATGTAAATGAAACAAACATACAGTGATGTGTACAACTTTAAATGAAACCCAGGGTGGGTGGCCAGGATTACACAGCATTGTTTGGTTCAGTGTTAAATTAGACTACCATGACCCACATTTGCATTTTATTTTATTATATATTTAATTAGTGTACAACCTTGACCTGCAACAACGTGTGTGTGTGTGTGTGTGTGTGTGTGTGTGTGTGTGTCTTTGCAGTCAGAGGGAAGCAGGATTTGGGAGGGGTGGGGAGCAGATGGGAGGCTTGATGATGAGATTCATTGGGGACTGATATTGGATCAAGGTAAAAAAAAAAAAGATGTGTATGTGTGTGGGTGTGCAATGAAAGACTCCATCCTAAAACACTGAAGCAGACAAACAGAGTGTTTATGGCGGGCTAACTGTAAGAGATGACTACACCTCTGTGGTAATTCGTGATCAGACAGACTGCGTCATCCTTCAGGCCAGCCGTGGTCTGTTCTCTAAACAAAGATCAATAGCCTTGTCAAGCTTTACAGGACAGAGTGCAACTGGTCCACTGTTACTGAGCTGAAGAGGAGGCTGCTGGTTAATGCCAAAAGGAGCCAGGGGGCAGAACGAGGTGTGTGAGAGAGATAGGGAGGGAAGAAAACTGTATATCCACAGTACAAGGTGGTGGATGTACAGCCCGTGGAGGGTTAATTCAACAGACTTCAGGAGATGAAGCAATTTTAAGTGTTAGGAAGGATTCATCTCACCCTTTATTGGATTCATTCATCACTTACCAGCAAGTAAATTCAGCCTACTTACAGTATACTATTCTCTTTTTTGGCTTGTTTGTGTGTTGTCTCAGTGTTGGTGAAAAGACAGAGTGTTTGCACCACTTTCAGTGCGGGTGGTCACAGCAGGACCCACCGAGTGAGATGAATCCACTCAAGGGAGTGTGAAAGTGAGAGAGTGAGAGAGAGAGAGAGAGA